TCCCGGCATCTTTACATCAACGTGTGAATTGACCTTTGGCTCCACGGAAATCTGGTGTAATCGTATACAAAAATGTACCCAAGAACTCGGTCATTGGTCCGTTTAACATGCTTTAGCTTCCATGTGGTTCTCCTATATTAAGCTGACACGCTGAGATGTAACTGGAGTACTGTTTAAAGGGGCGTTAAACAATATTCACTCACTCTATGTTTCCGTTTCTTGATATTTAAGCAGGACACTGGTTACGCTTCTGCTGGTGCTTTGATTTTTATGTTACATAGTAACCCATTTAATCAGGACACCAGTTGTAAATAAATCCTCCAATTGGTACACAAATAGTAAGAAACCACTCTAATCCGTACGCCACATGTAAGAAACTCCTCCAAACTGTACACCAATAGTAAGATACCCCCCTAATCCGGACACCAATAGTAAGAAACTCTTCCAATCTGTACTTTACATCGCTAGTAGGAAACCGATCTAATCCGCACACCAGCAGTAAAGAACCCCTCTAATCCGTACAGCAGCAGTAAAGAACCCCTCTTATCCGTACCCCAGCAGTAAAGAACCCCTCTAATCCGTATATCAGTAGTAAGAAACCCCTCAAATCAGGACACCAATATTCAGAAACCCTTCAATCCGACACACAAATAGTCAGAAACCCCATACTCCTGTAGTAAGCCACCCTCTATTCCGGACAGCAGTAGTAAGAAACCCCTCTAATCTGGACACCAGTAGTAAGGAACTGACACACTGTGATATACCTGAAATACTGCACAAAGTGGCGTTAAATAAAACTCACTCCTCTCTTAGTAGTGTCTTTGTATAACGAAACAAGACACCCAGAGAAATATTGATGTTCATATCCAAGTTCAGGTCCTCATCCGTCCTTAAACGGTCACACAACATGTGTACGTGAACGTTTGTCTTGTGTGTAAGTACCTAGCGTATTAGGCTTCAGCAAATGCTCGTTACGGATTTTAGTTGACGTTACAAATTATTTTGAATAAGATGATAAATAATTTGTGAAAGTAATCTTTTAAGCTTTCCAATGAAACGACAGATGCAATAACAAATAATAAAGAGCACGCCGAAGACCCGGGTTCGATTCCCGACATGGGTACAATGTGTAAAGCCCATTTCTTGTGAACCCCGCTAAGATATTGAAGGAATGTTGCTAAAGACGGCGTAAAACCATACTCACCCATCTGACGTTGACTATGTCAACAAGCAAAATTAATGGAAGTTATATTAGGCAAATGTAATTCTAAAGTATAACATACCATAAAAAAACAGTCATAAAAATGTATTAACAAAAGTTAAGATTTCAAAAAAGCTTAAGACGTGACGAGAGTTATTAAGACATATTACGTCACAACTAAGCATCTCACAGCGGAAATATTCAAGAATTTAAAATCCGCGGAAGCCGCAAATATAAACGTCTTTTTAATTGCATTAACTTTCATAACTTTTGGTAATATTTGACGAATTCGTGTGATATGTATAACCTAGGTGCCTCAGAAGCCGGAAGGTAAGTCTGTATCAGCCCAGGTTTACACGAGCGGCTGTTCCTGTAGACGTGTTGCTGCATCAGCCCAGGTTTACACGAGCGGCTGTTCCTGTAGACGTGTTGCTGCATCAGCCCAGGTTTACACGAGCGGATGTTACTTTAGACGTGTTGCTGCATCAGCCCAGGTTTACACGAGCGGCTGTTCCTGTAGACGTGTTGCTGCATCAGCCCAGGTTTACACGAGCGGCTGTTCCTGTAGACGTGTTGCTGCATCAGCCCAGGTTTACACGAGCGGCTGTTCCTTTAGACGTGTTGCTGCATCAGCCCAGGTTTACACGAGCGGCTGCTCCTTTAGACGTGTTGCTGCATCAGCCCAGGTTTACACGAGCGGATGTTACTTTAGACGTGTTGCTGTATCAGCCCAGGTTTACACGAGCGGCTGTTCCTTTAGACGTGTTGCTGCATCAGCCCAGGTTTAAACGAGCGGCTGTTCCTTTAGACGTGTTGCTGTATCAGCCCAGGTTTACACGAGCGGCTGTTCCTTTAGACGTGTTGCTGCATCAGCCCAGGTTTACACGAGCGGCTGTTCCTTTAGACGTGTTGCTGCATCAGCCCAGGTTTACACGAGCGGCTGTTCCTTTAGACGTGTTGCTGCATCAGCCCAGGTTTACACGAGCGGCTGTTCCTTTAGACGTGTTGCTGTATCAGCCCAGGTTTATACGAGCGGCTGTTCCTTTAGACGCGTTGCTGCATCAGCCCAGGTTTGCACGCGCGGCTGTTCCTTTAGACGTGTTGCTATTTTGTCAGCTCATAGATATGTAATGTAGGGTACTGGGAATGTTTTCAAACATACCATCTCCCACGCAACTGGGTCGAACAAAAATATGTGTTGGCTTCTCCTGTCAGAAAAACAAATTGCATGTGCTCACTGCAATAATATTCCGTCTATCTTAAAAGCATCCCGAAAATTCGTGATGTCACATACTCCGTCATAAACCCCCGCCAAAAATGAATTGCGAGAGAGATTAAACAATTCTGCAGTCTTGTATTTGATAAAAAAACACACTTTTCGTGATGCCAATAGCGTTTTATGTAAATATCCGTCTGAGGTCGTGAGAAAGTTTTACACTCTCTGTGTAAAATAAATAAACACTGATGTGCACAGCATTAGATGGGTCAATATGTGATTGATATCTCAAAGGCGTTTTATGGCGTATGACACAAGGCTCTAATTAACACTGATCTATCGATATCGGTTTAACATTGATGGAAAAGTATCAGAAGTGTTTGAAAGTTACTTAAAAGTAAGAAAAAACTAAATACTTTCCATATTACATGTGACATGTGATATTTGACCGCTTGCGAATTTAACAGAAAGCGACAGGTTGGTTGACCGGGCTTGTGGGTACAATGTACAGTGTCTAGTTATATAGGTTCTCATGCGCATCAACACTCGTGAAGATCCGGGTAAGAATAGGTCTTCAGCAATCCATGCTTGCCGTAAGAGGCTACTATACTTGTCGTAAAAGGCGCCTAACGGGATCGGGTGGTCAGGCTCGGTGACTTGGTTGATGCATGTCATCGTATCCCAATTGCGTTGATCGATGCTCATGATGTCAATGACTGGATTGTTTGGTCCAGACTCGATTATTTACAGATTGCCGTCATGTAGCTGGAATATTGCTGAGTGTAGCGTTAAACAACAAACAAACAAACGTTGCGCATCAAACATGAAGCTACCATTCAAAAGACAAAACTGTGCGTGTCGTAAAACCATTATGAGTATCTGGTGGATAAAATATCTACCTGGATGATTGTGTGCCACCATACCCCGGATCGATGCTCATTCTGTCAGTCACTGGTTTGTCTGGTCGAGACTCGATTATTTCCAGGTCGCCGTGACATGCACTGACTGACCCCCAGCCGAGACAACTGGGCTGATTCATCCAGTTGTTCACTTTAATCTGTATACAAATCATCATAATTATTATCATGCCCATTTATGAGTAATCAAGCACTACATAAACGTTGTATATTGTTGCAGACGCAGATAATGTGGCAGTGATGTTAACGCTTCTGTTAAGATAAACGTTAGCTGTAAGCCTGTTAATGTGATATGTGCATGACTCAACGCATGCTCCCAAACAAAAACATGACAAATATATGCATGTACATGTTCTTATCTGTCACAGGCAGAAGGTATGGACGCACTCATGTAGCATTGGTTAGCCTGCTCAAGACCACGGGCAGATCAAAACTAACATTGCCAAATGACGTCATACCCCATGTCCTCTTGTGGACGGACGTCTTATTGGTGTAATTTAATAGTCTTACCTGACTATTTTGACCTCTCATTTATACGACTGTTTACCATCTGTTATGGAAAAAGTGATACAGTGAACGAGGGCTAACATGGAAATACTGGTGCTTCCTCTGTGAATTACAAATGCTTGTTAGTACTTGAGGCATTTTCAATAAAAGTATGTATGGGTGCACTTATATGCTTTGTAGTTGATATTAAATAATGGAAACGCGTTATTGAACACGCTTGATTATGACTTTTTCTTGAAAGAGCTTGACGCTTTTGACTTGCTAGGTTTGTTACTAACTTAATTCGCTTGGTTCAGTACTGTTACTGTAAATTGAACGCATCCAGTGTATGGACGAAGTGATTGTCAAAACATAGCTTTGTTCGGCCTGGTAGCTGCTAACGTTATTCGCCTGAAGAGGTCTGAACATAGATACTAGTACGTACTATCTAATGTTTATTCATTCGTCAAATTCGGCTGAGCGAGTGAGTGTGTGAGTGAGTGAGTTGGGTTTAACGCCGCTTTTAACAGTATTCCAGTTATATCACGGCGTGCCAGCTTTATGTTGGAGGAAAGCCCGAAGTGATGCATGTCTCTAACATTTACCCCTTGGTGAAACCCACGAGCACGGGAATGGTGCTGACAAACCTAGAAACATATTAGGGGCGAACAGGGATTCGAACCCACAATCATAGGTTTCTGGCGTAGCCAAGGGACGCAACTCTGCACAGCGAATCGCGGCGCCTACTGGGCCATCCGTGCATCAATGTGTGAGTGAGTTGCTGTGGGACTTTATAAAGCTCACAAACATGGCACTGCTTTTGACCAGGGATACATCGTATATTAACTGTCTACACCCTGGGCTGACAGACCAGTGATCACAAAAAGAGAGAATCTGGATCAGCGCATCCCTCCACAACAAAGGGGAGTAATCCTGCATATTCACCTACTATGATGCTGAACTGAATACAAGCTTTCTGGACGTAACTTACTATCAAACCTGTAACGTCTTGAAGTACTGTATTATGTTATAGTTAACCAGCATACTATAAACCAGTATGGCCGTCAATGCCGCTTTAAACACAACTCTCTATATCATTCCATGCAGGTAAATTTTAGAAGCAAGGTAGTGTAGTCAAGAACGGCACTTAACTTACATATGAAATCGTTTAAATCGCCAGTGTCTGAACGTCTCGGGTTTGTTCACCGTCGTGGGTGCTGACAGCACCCAGGGTCTGACCAAGGAGCAGTTTCACAACGCCACCGTTGTCATCTTCTACTACATCTACAACTTCACCAACTACTGTCGACAGAATGTCAACCCGGAAATCAACACGTTTGAGTCTTATCTCCAGAAGGTTCAGAGCATATTATTCGAGGAGGGTCACGGTGATGTGGAGGCGGCGCCTGTTAAGCATGCGCTGGAGCACATTGCCGAGTTCATCAAGCCAGGGGACGCTCAACAGCACCGGCATCAACTCCACGACGACGATACCCACGTAGAGGAGGTGTCAGTGCTGGAGGAGAAGGTAACATGAAACTGACAGTTAATCTCTACCATGGGTATAATGGGTATGTTTCTCGGCTGGATAAAGCCAATGGTTGAAAACGGTATCCGTTGGGGTCAGGGGCGCAGCTGAGGCCTTTCACTGGCAATCAGACATTACCGAGGGCATAACTCCTACCTTCAATACTCATTTAACGTGTTGTGAGTGGTATGTGAATAAGCTTCTTGCGTTACAGGTATCGCATCCCTTTCTTTCACACCTGAGACCCGTGAAGATCCGGGTTAGATTAGGTCAACCCACGCTTGTCATAAGAGGCGGCTAACGGGATCGGGTGGTCAGGCTCGCTGATACATGCCATCGTATCCCAATTGCGTAGATCGATGCTTATGGTGTTAGTCACTGGATTGTCTGGTCCACACTCATTATCTACAGACCAGATAGACACAATTTTATGTGTAACAACTTCTTTAATACTGTGAAAATCGACATTTCGGTATAAGGCGTGACAACGGTATAAGGATCTATACCGATTTACTTACAGACCGCCGTCGTATAACTGGAATATTGCAGAGTGCGGCGTAAAACAACAGACAAACAAACAAAATACACTCTTGTCTTGTTTCTTCAGTGTGTGAGTGCAGATGCAGTGTTCTACCAGCTGGGTGAGGAGAGTGGGCATATCAAGGGAGAGAACCTTGCAGAGATGACCGCCTTCATTGTGTACCACCTTCTTGAGGGTAACGTTTCACAACCCTTTTATCATATGATGTCAGAGAACGTGTGCTTCAGCACCGCATCCGTGGTCTAGTGGCAGAGCGTCCGCCCGGAGAGCGGAAGGTACGGGGTTCGATCCCCGCCCGCGTCATACCAAAAGACGTTAAAAACGTTACCCTGTCTTGCGCTAGGCATTAAGGAGCTAAAACAAGGACTGGTCGGTTCGGAGTCAGTATACTGTGTCTGTGTAGGGTATTCATGTTAAACTGCAGCATGGTGTCTCAGTGAGCTAGCACTATAAATCGACATCAGTCCGGACTTATGCAAGCAGCAACACAAACACACACACGAACATGCAGGTCGTTATGTAGGTGCAATAATCTTGGACGCGACGTTAAACCCCATTTCACCTCACCTCACCCACGTGTGCTTCACGTAACGCGTGACAGCGCATGCGCACAGCAGGTGTCACTGCCACGCGGATTAGGTCAGACGTGATTTCAGTTGTCCACTGACATTTATACGCAACCGCAAAAACAGGCAATGCGTGTGCTTGGAATAAGTGTCGTGTGCACCAGTTTCCACCTTATAAAACATTGGTGTTATCCGTTCTCTGTTGTTGTTCTGTCACTTTGCTTTGGGACATTATTTTCCAAAACTAAAATTATCCAGTCTGTGCGGCGTTGTACACATAGAACATAGTGACAGTCGGATAAACAACGTTTCATAGAAATAGTGATTTTGGTTGGTTTGAAACCTCTGTGAATAGTAGTTCAGTTACATCACAGCGAGTCAGCTTGATAAAACCGAAAGTGAGGCAGGTTCAGTTACATCACAGCGAGTCAGCTTGATAAAACCGAAAGTGAGGCAGGTCTTAGGGGGGCATGTTTCAGACATTCCTGGCACTCAAATCTAGACGGGGCTCAGGGTTTCCAAGTCGTCTAAGGCGCCGTGATTCGCTGTGCAGAGTTGCGCCCCTTGGCTACGCCAGAAACCTTTGATTGTGGGTTCGAATCCCGGTTCGCCCCGACAATGTTTCTAGGTTTGTCAGCACCATACCCGTGCTTGTGGGTTTCACTTCAAGCTTAATTCCCGCCTTAAACTGACACGCCGCGATATAACTGTAATACCGTTAAAAGCGGCGTTAAACCCAACTCACTCACCAAGCCAACACGACACAGTAACATCACGAACTTTACCTAGAGTAATGTATTTCTGTTGTCGCCCAGGAGGGCTTTTACTGTATGATTTCATAACAGTTATGTTCATCCTTGGTGCATATTGCAGGGTCGACAATAAAAGAGAAGTGTCGTGTGCTCCCTTCCAGACAGAACATCCTCAACGACCTCTTTGTCCATATCAACGCCCCCAACAACACCATCACAAACACTGGTACCACGATGAAATGTCATAATGAAGTATTTTGGTCACGTGTTAGTTTAGGTAGTCCAGTCTATAAGCATGACTCGATGGTTAACTTTAACCAAGTTAATGTTTCTACATGCAGACATACGAATAAGTACTGTCCTTCCTTTCTATATTATTTTTTCTGTAGATTATATGTTGCGAACTTCAGGACCGACCATTTGACATCCTGGCGACGGGGAGAGCTCTGTTTCAACAGCCATGACTACAACACTTTCAGAACCTCCGCCGTGTCCCGTGAACGATTGTATATAAAACATGAGGACACACACACACACACACACACACATACACATTCACACACCACCACCACGCACGCACGCATGCATGCATACATACACACGCGCACGCACGCCACACACATACACGATCCACTAAACCCCTTCTCTCCTGCCTCACACATCCACCCAAAATCCCCCCCCCCCCCACACACACACACATAGTCAGCCACACACACGCCACACACACATAGTCAGACACACACATACGCAACACAAATACATGATCCACTAACACCCCCACCACACACACGCACGCGCACACACACACACACACACACACACACACACACACACACACACACACACACACACACACACACACACACACACACACACACACACACACAAACACACACACACACACACACACACGCACGCCACACACATACACCATTCACTACCCCTCTACCCCACCACACACACAATGTCCTATGGTCGGCCCCTACTAACCTTGAGTACATTTGATTTGTCCTAAATCCTCCGAGACAGAAGGTTACAATACTCAATAATTCTTTGATAAAGTAAAACACGGGTCATGCTTCAAAGATGGACATCAGAAATATCCATTTGGCATAATACAGAATCGGTTAAGGGGCATTTTGTATATTTAGTAACACAAAAATATATATAAACGTTCCTTGTGCAATATCGTTGACTGTTTAACATTAGGCCATTATGGCGACAATTGTATAAACAGCCTCATTAATTACGCATTTCGTATTAATTTTAATTCAGTGGTTCTACAAATAACATAACGAACAGAAAGTACATTGACCAAACATAAATATATACCAAGAGTCTGATATTTCGGTCGAGTTAGTCGCTAAATGACAGCTACAACTTCCCGTGTATAGAGTTGAGTGCATTGCTGGCCAAGCTGAACTTGGAGGGTGAACAAGAGGAGGACCACTCAGACAACGACCACAGGAGGAGGAGGAGGAGGAGCGCCGACGTTGATGCTGCTGCAGACAGTGCTGTCCGTGTGCGGAGACAGGTTGATGATATTCACGATCCTACAACAGTCCTGGTAGGTTGAAGCCTTTTCACAACTGTAAAATTGCTATTCCAACCGGGGGATTCCTGGTAAGGATTGGTCCTCGGCATCTTAGGCGGCGTAATAGATGAGGTGGTCGGGTGACTTGGTTGATTCCGCTCGTAATATCGATCCCTTGATTTTCTGGTCATGACTCGATTATTTATAGACCGAATATTGTTGAGTTTGTCGATGAACATTACACATTATAAATTATACCATTCCATGACGTGAGTGCACGGAAGGTGTTGATACTTCAACTGAAGAAATATTGTTTTAAGTAAATTAACGTCAATATAATTTGAAATCAGATCTCTATATAAATTATTTTCGAAATAATGAAAACTTTGAAAAAAAATAATTACACAGTTAATATTGTTCAAAGGTCACCAAAAAGTGTTACTCCGTTGGTGAGATCAAGGCAATCAACGGTTTGGGGTATGCTGACGTCATCACTAAGAACAAGTTTGTGGAGCTATGTCCCACCCTGGTGTACATGCAAGTAGCAGGGTCGTGCGTCTCCACCCCCAACACCACACAACCAGCCACGCCCACCATGGCAGAACGTAAGTCTGAGTCTCTACCCTGGTGTACAACACAACACAACTAACCACGCCCACCATGGCAGAACGTAAGTCTGAGTCTCTACCCTCGAGTACAACACCACACTAACAGCCACGCCCACAATGGCAGAACGTAAGTCTGAGTCTCTACCCTCGAGTACAACACCACACAAACAACCACGCCCACCATGGCAGAACGTTAGTCTAAGTCTCTACCCTGGTGTACAACACAACACAACTAACTACGCCCATCATGGCAGAACGTAAGTCTGAGTCTCTACCCTGGAGTACAACACCACACAAACAGCCACGCCCACCACAGCCGAACGTAAGTCTGAGTCTCTACCCTAGTGTACAACACAACACAACCAGCTTCGCCCACAATGGCAGAACGTAAGTTTGAGTCTCTACCCTGGAGGACAACGCCACGCTGACAGCCACGCCCACCATGGCAGAACGTAAGTCTGAGTCTCTACCCTGGAGTACAACACAACACAACTAACCACGCCCACCATGGCAGAACGTAAGTCTGAGTCTCTACCCTGGAGTACAACACCACACTAACAGCCACGCCCACCATAGCCGAACGTAAGTCTGAGTCTCTACCCTGGAGTACAACACCACACTAACAGCCACAGCCACCATAGCCGAACGTAAGTCTGTGTCTCTACCCTGGAGTACAACACCACACTAACAGCCACGCCCACCATGGTAGAGCATAAGTCTCCACCGTGGAGTACATGCAGGTGGCAGGGCTGCGTCTCTCCTATCGTACAACACACAACCAGACATGCCCTCCATGTCTGTAACGTCAGCCTGTGCTTGGTTGATGTTCAAATTGACAATGGACACTAGTTATATCTTCCGTGCTATGAGTCGTACAACTGTATTTGCTGCAGGCTACGGGTACGGTTCCTTGGCTATTCTGATCATCTGCTTCTGTGCTATACCGGGCGTCCTCCTCTTCCCCCTCCCAAAGGGCACCTGCCACGAGGCGTTCATGTCCGTCTTCCTGGGCCTTGCTGTCGGCACGCTGTTCTCTGACGCCATCTTGCATCTCATTCCTCAGGTCAGTTGTGAACATGGGTACCCGGTAGAAACATATTCTGTACCGAGCAATAGTACTCATTTCACTGTGATTCAGTATGTGATTCATTCTTTGAACTTTCGTTTTGAATAATATTTTCGTACTAGTTAACACCAAACCTGTTTGTCAGGCTTTCGGCCTACACGACCACGAAGACGAGCATGCGCACAATCAACCTTCCGGTCCAGTGACAGAAGAATACACTTGGTATGCTGTTGCGCTTATCGCTGGTGAGGCACATTTTATCTGTTGATATCAATATACATTTTTAGCAGATATTAAGGTAAAACACGACTCCCGGGCATTGTTTGAGAATGTAAACACGATAGGGAGGGGCCGAGGGTAGCAAGTTCGATCCCACTAAAATGTTAGGACCAGTTGTTGTTGGATTCTATATCATTCAACTTCTTGTCTTAAGTCAGCATTGTAATATCTGTCATGTACATCGTTTTCAAAAGCAAAATAAATACTCAATAAGGGGAATTCAAACAATGTCACACTCGCAAACTTTGGTTCCCCTCTGGAAGATATTACCTGCCCTTGATTTCCTTCAGTCAATTTGTTTGGCTACGCTACTAGGTCTGTGCGAGTGACAATCCGCCCTAATCTTGGGTTGGCGATATCAACACCATTGCTGCCATTCCCCTTGATTACGATGGAGTTTGCGAGAAATTCAACGTTGAAAAACTGACTGACACGCTATAGAAAGCCCTTACAAATCTTTCTGATGGAAATGCTGTCTTCATGTCCACAAAAAAACTGGCAATGGCTTTAAATTCAAGACTTTTACTTATCTTGAAATGTTAATGAAAATAAAGCGCAGATAATTTAAGATCGCGAAAACCTTGTGGATGGGTACCATACAGGGTTAGTGAAGGTTTACCGACATACGAGCCCTGGAGACATAGGGGATGCCAGGCAATCCTCCATTTTTTGTGTGTGGCGGGCTAAGGGGTGAACAACTGGGCAAAATCATACCTCCCGTTCACGGTTCCATGCATGAATTGTCTGATGTTGAAGCCTTGATATGTGTCAAGCAGATGGTCACAAGGTTACGACACATAGTACCGTTTGTTTGAGACGTTTTTGCTGTTTGTCTCTTGTATAATAAACAACTCCCACTCGTCTTTCATTTCTTATATGAGATATCAACATTATGTACATCCTATTTAAGGATGATGATGAAATGTACAAGATTTTAACATACTGATAGTTATCCGTATTATAATAATGATGACGCCCTCAGTAGAATCCGACCTCAGCAGTGTCCGACATGTCCATTTTATGCACATATGATTATTTCGCGCATATTCTCACAATCATCATGTCGATTGCCTGTACCTTTTCTCCCAGTACCGATTGTCGTATCTCTCCCGCTTTTTGATGCGATCGTTCAGCCATCGCGTTTATCTGCGTTGCCCAGCTACATCAATGGGGAACAACTCACTAGACACCTCCCTCTCAAAAGTAACGTCGTCCAATACACGACGTCATAAAACTGCGAGCGTCATAAAGGTGCGAGAAAGGACGTCATGATAAAACAATGTTTTATCGTGAAATTAACCACTCTTCGTTATTCACTGTTTTTTTGCGATTTATCGCGTAGCTATCTTATATACAAGTATGTGTATGACATGTTCCCTAACTGACAGGTACCTATGTCTTCTACCTGATCGAGTCTGTCATGGCGGTTCTTGGATCCGGGCACACGGTAATTACTCTTCTTGTTTGTTGTACAGTGAACCCCCCTAGTCTGCAAATCCCACCTTCAGAATGGTATCTTTTGGGTTCGTCTCAATATCAATCTTATTTCAATCAGATTCATTACTTCGCTACAATAATCCCATCTTCCCGAGGCAAGGGAGTTAACTGTCTAAAAATCAAGAGAGCACCTTGATTAAAAGCATGAAAGAATTTGCAAAATATGTGTCATCGCCCAGTTGACGGTACACATTATTTGCACATCCTGCAGTCGACAAAAAATCTGCACGGTGAAATCCATGTTGTTTACGAACCGGATGTCTGGTTCGTTACGTGATTTTGATTGGACTATGCATAGACTCGTTATTCCAGCCAAAATGTAACTCCATAATTGCAGCCTAGTTCGGCAAGGGTGGAAACTGGACTTCTATAGTCAGTTAACTCCCTTGCCTCGGGAAGATGAGATAACCCTCGACGTGAAGATCTGACAACACGTTCATGGGAGGGCGCGTCATATGAACTTCCTAATCAGCCAATCAGCTAACGAGGCATTTATGGCAAGGCGACGCGCCATTGCCTCTTCACCCAAACTTTCTGCTGGTGTTCATTTGTTACATTCGAACGTTTCGGATCAAGAAATGAAGCCGAATCGTCTAAGAAATCTGAAATCTGATTGGCTCAAGAACCAACGCATTCTTCTTTTACATTGGGCGGTCAAAGTTTGCTTCATCAGACACGACCTTCTGTAAGGGGTTGCCAGGTCTTTACGCAGAAAAGCATTTTATTGAAATATAGATCTGATTTTAATGCACTCATGTTTGGTTAATTCGGACAATTTCTGTGGGAACGCCACCGTCCCAATTGTTGTAGGAACGGCACCATCCTGATTTATCTGGTATCAGTACCTTCCAGATTTCTTTGAGAACAATACAATCAGGATTCCCTGTAAACAATGCTATCCAGATTCCTCTCGGAACAATGCCGTTCGGATTTTTTTGGGAACGGTATCGTTCATGTTTCTATGGGAACTGTAAAGTGCGTATTTCTCTCAGAAAGATGCTTGCCAGATTTATTAGGGGCACAGCTGAACGGGTTTCTATTTGCTGCTTAACCAATTAAAAACAAATTTTTAATAATAATCATGAGTTTTTCAACTGTATTTCGTAATGTTCGGCCTAATATCGTAAATAATAGTTGGATGACTACCAAATAGGTATATAGAGATACCAAAAATCGTAGAAATAGTGCTATCAGTGCAGAAGAGTTTGTCAACTTCCTTGTTGTATACAGCTGTTGTACGCTTTGATTGCAGCATTCTCACAATCACTCGTCTGTGGAACTGAACCAAATCGATGTAGATCGTGTGGTAAGTGTTCACAATCTCACAAACACAATCTTTAGATCTCTTTGTTTGCTATCTTTAAGTGGCATGTAGAAGCTGTAGTATCAGTGATTGAGTGAGTGTCTGACTGAGTGCCTGAGTATGGTTTTATGCCGTCTTTATCAATACTTCGGCAATATCTGGGCTTCACACATTGTAGCAATGTGAGGAATGGAACCTACTAGGCATTCGGCTTGACGAGCAAAAACACCTTAACCACTATGTACGGTTGCCCATAAGGGACATGGAGTGTTTTTCAATATTTTTATATTTCACTCACTTCTATCGTAACCTTTTGCAAATTAACACAATTTGGCATACACATATGTGATAAATCATGTATAAAAACAACCGAAAACATGGAAAATGGACTTTCAAGTAGCTATTGAATCGCTGAAATGTGAAGCGATAATGTCAAAAACTAAAATGGAAATGTCCAAAAACAAAACGAAAATGTCAAAAACTAAAATGAAAATGTCAAAAACAAAAACGAAAATGTCAAAAACTAAAATGAAAATACAGAAAAGTATTTCCTCCGCGATGATAATATTTCCACCAGGGTGAAAAGTATTTCCTACTTCCTACCGCGGTCGAAATAGTGTTCACCGATCAACAGAGTCCCGGGTAAGATGACACACAGTCCGATTCTCAGTAGTCGGTTCGTACTAGTTGGTGATGGGGGCCTTTTCTAAACCGATATCCCACGGGGCCAAAATTGATGAGTGTCGAAGGTTGACATTTTCATGCAACAGCCTATTTCCATTGCAGAAGAAAGAGCCCATTGGGGTAATCGAAGAAAAGAGTCCACGAGAGAAGTCATGTACGTAAACACAGAATGTAGAGGGTGTGTGAGTGAGTGAATGAGTGAGGGAGCCAGCGCGGGAGGGAATGGGTGGTAGGATGTGAGTGAGTGGATGAGTCGGAGAATGAGCCATGGAGTGTGTAGGTGAGTAGGGAGATCGGTGGGTGGGTGAGGGAGGGAGGGAGGGAATGGGTGGTAGGATGTGAGTGAGCGGATGAGTCGGAGAATAAGTCATGGAGTGTGTAGGTGAGTAGGGGGATCGGTGGGTGGGTGAGTGAGTGAGTGAGGGAGAGAGGGTATGGGTGGTAGGATGTGAGTGAGTGGCGGAGTCGGGGAATGGATTAGTGAGTGTGTAGGTGAGTAGGGGGATCGGTGGGTGGGTGAGTGAGTGAGGGAGGGAGGGAGGGAGGGAGGGTATGGGTGGTAGGATGTGAGTGAGTGGCGGAGTCGGGGAATGGGTGAGTGAGTGTGTAGGTGAGTAGGGGGATCGGTGGGTGGGTGAGTGAGGGAGGGAGGGTATGGGTGGTAGGATGTGAGTGAGTGGCGGAGTCGGGGAATGGGTGAGTGAGTGTGTAGGTGAGTAGGGGGATCGGTGGGTGGGTGAGTGAGGGAGGGAGGGTATGGGTGGTAGGATGTGAGTGAGTGGCGGAGTCGGGGAATGGGTGAGTGAGTGTGTAGGTGAGTAGGGGGGTCGGTGGGTGGGTGAGTGAGGGAGGGAGGGAGGGTATGGCTGGTAGGATGTGAGTGAGTGGAATGGATGAGTGAGTGTGTAGGTGAGTAGGGGGATCGGTGGGTAGTGGCGAGTGGGTGAGTGGGCGAGTGGGCGAGTTGGTGAGTGGGTGAGGGGGTGAGTGGGTGAGGGAAGTGGGTTGGATGCCTCTTTTAAATAGTGTTATTTAACTTTTTCTATATTTTTTATTTATGGTGGATGGGAAGATATGAGGACAGGGGTTGTTTTTCTTCCCGACTATTTTGTTAACTAACTTAAGTAATAGTAATTAAATGTCATGGGTTAGTATAGGGACTGAAATAACCCTTTGAAATTTTCGCTCAAAATTGTCGTTTTCAATTTGGTTTTATTTCACCCGACCAACCAACCTTGATAAAAACCCTTTAAGACAAGTATTATATTTCTCCAAACGACCTTATCATGTTGGTGATCCTTTGTCCAAGTATTTAAAAATGTTCGATTGTTTTGTCAGTTTGATGTGAGAGGAGACTTCCTGCAGGTCGTGTATATAGGGGTTTACCGTGTGAAACCAGCGAGCAAGGAAATTGTACTGACAGTCAATAAGTCATGGCAGTCATGGCAGTCATCTAAGGCGCCGCGATTCGCTGGGCACGCCAGAAACCTCTGATTGTGGGTTCGAATCCCGGTTCGCCCCGATTATGGAATACTGTTAAAAGCTGCGTTAAACCAAACTCACTCACTCACTAGTAATAGTCGTGAGGCTTCTGAGCATGTGCAACACTTGAACTATATACCATCAGTAAAATCCTTGAAAATCAAGTGGGCGCATCAGCCTTGGATCTATTACTGGTCATAACAGTCCCTGTTGTGAGTGAGTGTGTTGGGTTTAACGCCGCAGTATTCCAGTTATATCACGGGGTGTCAGCTTAATGTGAGAGGAAAGCCCGAAGTAATGCAGGCCTCAGACGTTAACCACTTCGGTGAAACCCACGAGCACGGGTATGGTGCTGACAAACCTAGAAACATAATCGGGGCGAACCGGGATTCGAACCCACAATCATAGGTTTCTGGCGTGCCCAGCGAATCGCGGCGCCTTAGACGACTGGGCCACCCTTGCCCCCAACAGTCCCTGGAGTTGAAACTAAGCAGCTCCAAGTAAATCTCTGCAACGTACGACGTAATGTAATTATATCGTTTACTGCATTGCGTTTCGTACTGGTTGGTGATACCAGATAACCATCCTGATAAATGTGAAGGCACAGATGCTTGATCAGCTTATGTTCTGGCGTTTTATTCATATTGGTGTTGTTTTCAGCTTTTTCAACGCTTGCCTTTATGGTGATAATCGGGGACGGCATCCACAACTTCGCAGATGGTCTGGTGGTTGGTGCCGCCTTCAGTCTCAGCGTCACTAGCGGCCTCACCACCAGCATCGCCGTCTTCTGCCATGAACTACCGCACGAACTGGGTCGGTCAGCATTGCTTCTTGGTCTCCAAAGTTTTGTATAATGTATAAGGATACATTTCTCAAAATGACCCATACTGTCATAATCGTTCGAAAGTTTCTCTCATATTTCGGAGAATTTCCATGTGGTCAATTTAGGATGGGTGAGTGAGTGGGTTGGGTTTAACGCAGCTTTTATCATTATTCCAGTTATATCACGGCGTGTTAGCTTAGTGTGGGAGGAAAGCCCGAAGAGATGAAGGTCTCGGACGTTTATCACTGTTTACTTAGAAGTAAAGCTGTCATCAGTACGTGATAATGTCGACTCATTAATAAGTTGTCGTAAGAGGCGACTAACGGGATTGGGTGGTCAGGCTCGCTGATATAGTTGATGCATGTCATCGTATCCCATTTGCGTAGATAAAAGCTCATGATATTAATCACTGGATTTTCTTGTCCAGACTCGATTATTTACAGACGGCGTGGCGTAAAACAAGAAACAAACATCAATAGGTATTACATGTAAAAAATATATAATAAGATGGACTTTTCCATGCATTTTTTTAAGAACGATGTGTATATATCCCTCTGTCGCGAACTCCGATGTATCGAATACCCTGTTGTGTTAAACTCAATGCGCTCCTGGAAAATCATATTTACTGCTATTTTAACCCGGGTGTGTCGAACTCAATTTATAGTCTCAAGATGTAAAAATACGTTAAACATATATTGTCCTGATAAGTCGAACTCCAGTTTATAGCAACACTTTCAATCGTGTGTAGTGTTACAAGCCTGAAGTGATGTGTATGGTGTTACAAGCCTGAAGTGATGTGTATGGTGTTACATGCCTGAAGTGACGTGTATGGTGTTACAAGCCTGAAGTGATGTGTATGGTGTTACATGCCTGAAGTGATGTGTATGGTGTTACAAGCCTGAAGTGATGTGTATGGTGTTACAAGCCTGAAGTGACGTGTATGGTGTTACAAGCCTGAAGTGATGTGTATGGTGTTACATGCCTGAAGTGACGTGTATGGTGTTACATGCCTGAAGTGACGTGTATGGTGTTACAAGCCTGAAGTGACGTGTATGATGTTACAAGCCTGAAGTGACGTGTATGGTGTTACATGGCTGAAGTGACGTGTATGGTGTTACAAGCCTGAAGTGACGTGTATGGTGTTACATGCCTGAAGTGACGTGTATGATGTTACAAGCCTCAAGTGACGTGTATGATGTTACAAGACTGAAGTGATGTGTATGGTGTTACAAGCCTCAAGTGACGTGTATGGTGTTTCATGCCTGAAGTGACGTGTATGATGTTACAAGCCTCAAGTGATGTGTATGATGTTACAAGACTGAAGTGATGTGTATGGTGTTACAAGCCTGAAGTGACGTGTATGGTGTTACAAGACTGAAGTGATGTGTATGGTGTTACAAGCCTCAAGTGACGTGTATGGTGTTACATGCCTGAAGTGACGTGTATGATGTTACAAGCCTCAAGTGACGTGTATGATGTTACATGCCTGAAGTGACGTGTATGATGTTACAAGCCTCAAGTGACGTGTATGATGTTACAAGACTGAAGTGATGTGTATGGTGTTACAAGCCTGAAGTGACGTGTATGGTGTTACAAGCCTGAAGTGACGTGTATGGTGTTACAAGCCTGAAGTGACGTGTATGGTGTTACTAGCCTGAAGTGACGTGTATGGTGTTACAAGCCTGAAGTGACGTGTATGGTGTTACTAGCCTGAAGTGACGTGTATGGTGTTACAAGACTGAAGTGACGTGTATGGTGTTACTAGCCTGAAGTGACGTGTATGGTGTTACAAGCCTGAAGTGACGTGTATGGTGTTACAAGCCTGAAGTGACGTGTATGGTGTTACTAGCCTGAAGTGACGTGTATGGTGTTACAAGACTGAAGTGACGTGTATGGTGTTACTAGCCTGAAGTGACGTGTATGGTGTTACTAGCCTGAAGTGACGTGTATGGTGTTACAAGCCTGAAGTGACGTGTATGGTGTTACAAGCCTGAAGTGACGTGTATGGTGTTACAAGACTGAAGTGATGTGTATGGTGTTACATGGCTGAAGTGACGTGTATGATGTTACAAGCCTGAAGTGACGTGTATGGTGTTACAAGCCTGAAGTGACGTGTATGGTGTTACAAGGCTGAAGTGACGTGTATGGTGTTACAAGCCTGAAGTGACGTGTATGATGTTACAAGCCTGAAGTGACGTGTATGGTGTTACATGGCTGAAGTGACGTGTATGGTGTTACAAGCCTGAAGTGACGTGTATGGTGTTACAAGGCTGAAGTGACGTGTATGGTGTTACAAGCCTGAAGTGACGTGTATGGTGTTACATGGCTGAAGTGACGTGTATGGTGTTACAAGGCTGAAGTGACGTGTATGGTGTTACAAGCCTGAAGTGACGTGTATGGTGTTACATGGCTGAAGTGACGTGTATGGTGTTACAAGCCTGAAGTGACGTGTATGATGTTACAAGGCTGAAGTGACGTGTATGGTGTTACAAGCCTGAAGTGACGTGTATGGTGTTACATGGCTGAAGTGACGTGTATGGTGTTACAAGGCTGAAGTGACGTGTATGGTGTTACAAGCCTGAAGTGACGTGTATGGTGTTACAAGCCTGAAGTGACGTGTATGGTGTTACATGGCTGAAGTGACGTGTATGGTGTTACAACGCTGAAGTGACGTGTATGGTGTTACAAGCCTGAAGTGACGTGTATGGTGTTACAAAGCTGAAGTGACGTGTATGGTGTTACAAGGCTGAAGTGACGTGTATGGTGTTACAAGCCTGAAGTGACGTGTATGGTGTTACATGCCTGAAGTGACGTGTATGGTGTTACAAGGCTGAAGTGACGTGTATGGTGTTACAAGCCTGAAGTGACGTGTATGGTGTTACAAGGCTGAAGTGACGTGTATGGTGTTACAAGCCTGAAGTGACGTGTATGGTGTTACAAGGCTGAAGTGACGTGTATGGTGTTACAAGGCTGAAGTGACGTGTATGGTGTTACAAGCCTGAAGTGACGTGTATGGTGTTACAAGACTGAAGTGACGTGTATGGTGTTACAAGCCTGAAGTGACGTGTATGGTGTTATATGGCTGAGGTGACGTGTATGGTGTTACATGGCTGAAGTGACGTGTATGGTGTTACAAGCCTGAAGTGACGTGTATGGTGTTACAAGGCTGAAGTGACGTGTATGGTGTTACAAGCCTGAAGTGACGTGTATGATGTTACATGCCTGAAGTGACGTGTATGATGTTACAAGCCTGAAGTGACGTGTATGATGTTACATGCCTGAAGTGACGTGTATGGTGTTACAAGCCTGAAGTGACGTGTATGATGTTACAAGACTGAAGTGACGTGTATGGTGGTACAAACCAAGAAACATAATCAGGATTAATCTTAGATTCGAACTAACAATCATATATTTCTGACAAGCCTCCTGCACGCAACCCAACACAACACATTTCAGCCCTTCAGACGATGCATATTAGAACTGAGATTGCGGAAACAATACAATATATATATATTCCTTTCATTTCTACTGTCGTAGGCGACTTTGCAGTGCTGTTGGCGAGCGGGATGTCGTACAAGCGGGCGCTGTGCTGGAATTTCGTGTCTGCCTTGACGGCGTTTGTTGGACTGTATATCGGTCTGTCTGTCTCCACAGACCCGCTGGTCCGACGGTGGATATTCGCCGTCACTGCTGGGATGTTCGTCTACATCTCCCTGGTCGACCTGGTCAGTTACAACAGATATTATTCTGTGTTATTGTGGTCAGCAAATGACAGACTGAGTTGGGTTTGCAAAATGTTTCACGGCGTGTCACCTGATTGTGGGGGGACGCTCGTAGTGATGTAGGTCTCCGGCATTTACCCCTTTAGTCAAACCCACAATCGGGAGTATGAGGCTGACAAAGCATTATAAACGTGGTGTTTGTGGATTCAAACTGACCAGCGGATCATGGCCAAGGGACGCAACTCTGCAACGCGAGAGGCATCGCCTGAGCCAATCTTATACCCGTTAAATGTCCCATAAGCCCCACAGATAATAAAAGAATAAAGCAGTGTTTCATTTTGAAACATGTCTTCAAAAAAACCATAAACTAACTCAGATATTTGTTATCGTATGCACCATCACATCACCATTGTCTGAGGGACAAATTCAAAAGTTTGATGTCGATAAACAATCTTATGCAAATTCCCTGCGAATTTCCATCCGACAAAGTCAACTTAACGGATTTCTCAGTGTCTTATACTGTAACTAAACTCAGCAAAAAGTCTGATGCTGTTTGTACCCCAAGATCGTCATCGCTGTCAGGGAGAGTTGGGAGAAAAAAAACAAGATAACTCGGCCCACAAGCTCTTAGCATCACTGGTATGTAAAGCGTAACGCAACAGGATTCGCCAGGCATATACTGTTAGGAGTTGTCATTCAATACATCCTGTCTTTCCACGAGATTTATTTTATTTTATTTTATTTTAATTTAATTTTATCTTATTTATAGGAGGGGAGGGGTGTGTGTTAAACGCACGCTCGACGCGGTAGTTCCTCAAAAACACTGTTCTTCTTCACGACATAAACGTTACTATACCATCCAACCCTATACTGTGGCACTTGTGAATAGGACTTCAATATTCTTTCAGTTACCGTCTTTTATTAACAATGTGTCGAGAAACCGGAAGTTGGTGTTTGTGATGCACAACGTTGGGATGTTGACTGGTTTCCTCTTCATGCTGCTCATCGCCTTGTATGAGGATAAGATCAGCATCTGAGGTGAGGCGGACCATAGTCTCTCACATTCTTTGCACAGAGAGAGAGAGAGAGAGAGAGAGAGAGAGAGAGAGAGAGAGAGAGAGAGAGAGAGAGAGAGAGAGAGAGAGAGAGAGAGAGAGAGAGAGTTTATTTACATTTTTATATAGTGTGCTTGCTAATAGGACTTGTACATTTTATATTTAAATCATGTTTCACACGCATTATGTCATTGTTGTGAGACGTTAAATCGCCTGTTTTTCCCCACCCTCCATCCCCAACCCCACTACAGGGGCATGTCGACGGTCACAAAGTTACATGATGACAACGAAGAAAATATTTTTATTCGGACATTTTTATATAGTTAGGTCAGTGATTATTATTTGATGATAACCATCTTTCGTTGCTCAATAGTGTGTTTAATGGAAAGTGATTGCGAAAAACTAGTGCCAAAATGATTGTTGACGGTCTACAGAGTAGAAATCGTCATTCTATCCCAAGTGGAAACCAAAAAAGGTCAGTCATGTACAGTAAACTACGTTTATTACGAACACGCTTATACCAAACAACGGTTATAACGAACTTAACTTAGTGGTCCCTTTTCGTTATAACCGTAGTTTACTGTAATTTACTTCTGCTGACAATATTTAAGCTGGAACGTATGCAGTGGCTGCTATAACTTTGAGAAGGGTGTATGAGATTTATCTACGCCAAAAAATGTTTATACTTTCGTACTTATTACATTCATACGCAAATAGATTAACAGAGACTCGGTTGATTTTCGAATAAAGAGTCGCGATGAAGCCTGTCCTCACACCACTGTTGAGTGTTCAAGGGTAGGGTAATCCCACTTACAAAGTCAGCGATCTAACCCACTCAGCCACCGAGGCTTCCACAAAAATGAAAGTCTGCCAACTGGTAGTCTACATCACGTACTTTGTGGTACAAGAATCTGTAGTTTACTAAGAAAGTGTTATCCCAAATATAACATTTGTTACAATTGACCACTTTACAGGTTACACACAACCAAATGTTTTCCCATAGACTTCTATAGTAACGTTATATTTTTTTTAAAAATAACTAAGCATTCAACAGCTATTACCTGTACGTGTGTGCACAGTTTGGCCTCAGAGCAGCAATAAAAACATAAAAAATGACTAGCTTAGCCAGCTCCTTTTCCGAGTACAGGAAGCTAAACACACCACCCCCAGTTTCGCACCAAATGTCACCTACTTGAAAATAGCTGTGGTCACATTCAGCATAAGTCATCATGTTAAAAAAGACAGAACTAAATATAGAAAAACATGGTCGGTTATAATAACAGGATGGATGTACATTTGAAAGACATAAAAATCTTACAGAATATCCTCCAATCACAGCCTGCAGATATGTCTCGGTCTGCACTGAACCCTACGAAAACCGCACTGTCCGAACTGTTTCTGATTTGGTGTAGTAGAACCTCTAAATGGCAGTGTGTGTTTATATTTTACGTATGCTTCTTAAGGGGAGGTTATTCATGGCGCGTGATGACAATTTGTCGCGTGAACCTGTTCCCGTATTCTGACAGTATTAACGACAGTGACGGTAACCAAATGTTCAGGAGGGAGTCACTTCCAATTTCACTGTTTCAACAAGTTCCATACATGCATATTTTATTGAGGATGAACGGGGTGAATGTGGCTGTATTCATGAACGTGAACACACAATGTCATTTTAGAAAATGGTCAAATGTAACAAATGTTATATTTGGGATAACACTTTCTAAGTAAACTACAGATTCTTGTACAACAAAGCACCACAAAGTACAGATCAGATTCTAGTACTTTTTTGGGTTGAGTCCCATCCGGGAATCGAACCCACACTGCCAGCGTGAAGAAACCTAATCGCCAGCACACAAAGTCAGCGTTCTAAAACATTCAGCCACCGAGGCTTCTACAAAAATGAAGTCCGACAACAGATAGGCTAGATTACGTTATCCCAAATATAACATTTGTCTTATGATGTATATACGTGTTCGAACATGTGCACTGACAGACTTGTCCTGCGCGTGTGTATAGAAGGTTCGTGTGAAGTAATTCTTGCATAAGCCCTATGTTAAATTTACAGTTACTTGAAATTTTGTATTTGATTTTTTTCCCAAACCTATAATTATATGAATGTCAATACGTACTTTTGTAATCTCACAGTTAAGACTCTGCATGGGCGAGATGTAGGTTCTCCCTTACATGTCAAGATTAACGACGCAGTCCTTTCACATTGCAGGGTTAGGGTGTGGGCGTTTGTGCGAGACCTGGACACAAGACGTGGAGACTTTGCCAGAAGCAATAATACCTCAAGTGGTTCTGCGAGTGATAGTGAAGATGTTATTGTTTCAAACGTTATGTTCTTACCATAGTACCTCTTTTTAAACTGACACGGTTGAATATTCCTCACTTTGTAAGTGGTATAATACTTGGTTACACGTAGAAAATCTTTAGCTCTGGTCCTGAACTGTGATGATGGGATTATCAAATAATTCGGCGTTGCGTTTTTTTACGTAATATGTTGCAGACAGTGCAAGTGCGAGCGTATAATGTCACATACGGCTTATCAACACTTTTTTAACGCCGCACTCGGCAATATCCAAGCTATAGGGCGGCGATCTGTAAATAATCGAGTCTGGACCAGCAAAGTCAAGGAAGACACTATGAACATAATATATCAAAACCTATATGTGATGAGACAGATCTGGTATTTTTACTCGATATATATAAACCTATTTCGCCTCTAATGGTAAAGTCAATGTGTTTTTTTAACTTTCTAAATACCTCTATAATAATCGGTCAAGTTGGGTACGAGATCAATTGCCACAAGCATAAGCCATGTATATTGTCTAGAATAAACAATAAGTTCTAGTTCTAAGATTTACTAATAAAGTCTTGGTGGGCCTTTATGGACGTTCTAGAAAATAATAATATTCCTGCAGTTGGCATTCCTTCACACGATGTCTGGTTACACAATAACATACACGTGGGGAAGGAAACTATGGCCTACAAAATACATCAGATTTATTAATTATTTTATTCTCTCATTTGTACAATGCAGGAAGAAATACATTAAAATTAATTATCTTAACTATCCAAGTCTGATCCAGTCTATTGAGCAATACTGTCGGCAACAGGGCATTCAGATGCTGAAGAAACTTACTTAACCAATTTTACCATTTAATATATTTCATTGGTTAAAAACCAGTAAAGGTTCTCAATAAAATACTTATGGACAAACAAACTACCAAGAATCACCTCTTTCAAACATTGGAATTCTTGCTTAGAAATGATATCTGTCATGAACATTTCAGTGGTTTCAATATCAAATATTACATCATATACTACCTACACTTCAGCAACCCATGCTTACCGTAAAAGGCGACTAACGAGATCGGGTGGTCAGGCTCGCTGACTTGGTTGATGCATGTCATCGTATCCCAATTGCGTAGATTGATGATCGCTTATCGAATTGCATAGTTCTTGATAGTTCATTTTCTCAAATAATATCCTCTCTTTTGATATTGTGCCGTGTGATATTAACGTAGATGTGAGGGTTCTAACAGATGTGTCGAAATGATTTTTTTCAATATAATTACATTAATCAATGCTGATAAACGCATGGTTTTCAATTCTCTAACGGTACTTTTCCTACGCCTAAGAATTAACATTAATAGGGAGGGAGGCAATGACGACGCTTCACTCTGAAGCATTACTTTTACAGCTATTCGCTGCGAGGAGTCGTCAGACGAGGGTCACGCATGCTGCGTTTATGAAAAGTCAGGCCGTCATATATAATGGTCATGAATAAGGAGAGGTCGCGAACTGATCAATAGTAATAGTCCTGTTATCAGAAAACGCAAAAAGGAACCAAGAAAAATATTACACCTTGTATTGTGCGTATCATCTGTCCATTTGAACCTGATAGCGTTATTGAAAACCAACCTCACTGAAAAAGATACTTCCCTGTATCAGCTATGATAGATAATGTTTGTTACTTCATCCGCAAGCATTGCATGGAAGTAAGAGATCTGGTTTTAACTAGATTGGTTGTTAACGCACGTGATGTGTTTATTAACTGCGGTGTGTATATGTAACATGATGTATTGTTTCTTTGTGAGGAGAGTTTATTTATGACATTTATAATAAAATTATTAAACCACAAAAGCTTTCAATTGTTTTTTTCGCTCTGTAGAGAAACCGTCTGTGTGAATGAATGAATGAATGAATGAATGAACATAATTTGCTAGACACGTTGCAAGCGTCATAGTGTACGCGTGGCGAGAAGGGTCTGGAGTCAAGTTTTGTAATTTACAAGTCGAAAATAATATACTTTTCAAAAGAAGTTGAACAACACCGATTCTTTCACGTTTTTATTATATATAGTGCTTTAACGTATTTTGAGCACTATATTTAGTCAAGCCTCGTCACTCTTTTTGGTAGACTTACCGAATAACTGACGTTTTTTAAGCCGATATACATGAACAAAGCAGCGAAATACAAGTAGCAAACTACCCTTGTGTATATTAATTTTATATATATATATATACGCGTATAATAAAAAATAAATTGCACTGATCCCGCTTTCCTTCTCATGTTACGGTCTTCTATTCGCCATGGGGCGAGAAACTCGGATCACTGGGCTGACGCAGTCATTCGCGTGTTTACCGTTGGGAATGCCTCACCCACAACACGCGTTCCACTCACAACCAGCGAGAACGCCATATACGACAGGCCTGCGATCCGACAATTGCAGTACGTAGCTCAAGCGGGAGGCGATGCTAGATTCGGATCGTCTGCCGCTGGGAACCACGTTGTTATCAAGTGATTCAATAACGGTCATCATTTAGATACTCTAGGGGTGTTGAGTGGCATGTTGCAACACGCGGACTAAACTTCTCGGATTTCTTGCGACTAATAGCATAGCGTCAGCACAAAGCGTTCAGCGGTGTAGCCGTGCTCCTCCGGGAGGAAGAGTGACGGAAACCTACCGTGTGACAACTAAGCGAGGCACGGAGTGTGTATACACACACTCCTACCGCTTGAGGTCCGCGCTTGGCCACGGATCCGAAATTAACATTTTCTACTTCGCGCTATTTCAGAGATCCGAAACTATCCTAAAATCCGATTTATCACACACTCCGTTCTCGCGAAGTCAATTGTTCTCTCTGATCGCTCGCTCGCTGACGTATGGTGAGCGTAACAGCGGCGAACCCGGCCAATCAATAGCGTCTTTTTACAACCGGCGACGTGCGCGATCACTATTTGTTCGGATTGCTGACGCTTTCGAAAGGGGGAAAAATGGAAATAAGAAAATGGAAAAAGAAACATGATCGGTGAGGAGGGTCGCCGAAAACTATGAGAGTCCTGATGGGAGGGTCATACAAAATAATAATACACATAGCACATTCTATCTAATGGGATCCAGGCACTGGCCCCATCGTTGACAGAAGAGTGGACCTCGGAATCTTAATCTTACTTCTTATTTTTTCGGTAGGCAAAAAACCTCACCGGCTATTTAAGTAGGTATTGTAGAGAGAATGTAAAGTTACACCACAAACGCGATGTGTAAAAAATATTACGCTGAAACATTGCTACTGCCCTACATAATACAAACTCTGTCTTGTATTCTTTTTAAAGCAGTCCATTCTGTCTCATGTAGTATGCATTAAATGTACCACTCATTTGCATAACAATTTATTTCGTGGATATATTGGTGTAAATGCACATTTTGTGAATTCCTGCTGCTTCCTACAATTAAATTTACGGAAATTTACAAAACTAAACTGTCTGTCTTTCATTGAAATGGGTAACTGGCGTGTTTCTATGGCAGAAGGTGTGTACGTGGCTGAATAACTTGACAACACGGCGACGGGTATGAGTTCAATTTATTTGAATGACTTGGTAAACTGTGTATATGTTTACACCATGAAATACACAATAACATACAATAAGATACAACATAAAACGAGAGCATGGTAATTCTTTTGACATGCAAATCAAAGTATTCATAACACAGACATCAATGACATATACTTTAGCTTTAAGTAAGTGTAGGGGCAGAAAATTAAGCATTGCAAATGTACATATGACGCTGCCATTACTACACATAAGCTTTATATGATGGCAATTAAGATAGAACAACTTGAATTACAGTTGCACAGATATTGAAGATATGCACGAAATGCCAAATCTGTAAAACGTGATCAATATATAAACCTAATTGTATATATTTACTCACGATGATAAACAGACATACCAGAAGGGTGTAGATCACATTTCAGTATCCAACGACTACATGGACCCATGACGATCCGGGGTAGAATAGGTCTTCAGTAACCAATGCTTGCCATAAAAGGTGACTATGCTTGTCGTAAGTGGTGACTAACGGGAGCGGGTGGTCAGGCTCGCCGACTTGGTTGATCCATTTCATCGTATCCCAATTACGTGGATCGATGATCATGATGTCAATCACTGGACTGTCTGGTCCAGATTCGATTATTTGCAGACCGCCGTCATATAGCTGGAATATTGCTGAGTGCGGCGTTAAACAACAAACAAACATGGTCAGGGCTACAGTGACATCAAACTATATATAAATACGGAAATTATTTTAAATGTACAATAAAACTAACTTTCCTACACAATGCTCTTGCGCGTGTGGACATTATTATCAAATCAGTGCTACTTTAAATACATATTTACAAATCCGAACATAGCACTATCATTAAACACAATAAAATACCAAACATGATAATACCATCATAAAAGGCCACATATATATATTTACAATACATTTAACACATACATGATAAAAGATTATAAACATATTTAAATAACTGTCTGTCCTGGAGACTAAGCCATTTACTAAATCTCACGCATCATAGAAATATTTCATTTAACGCACACCTGTTTATATATATATAACACATACAGATACATTTACATATATATGTTTACGCATTTAATTGGAAACATACCTTCACAGTTAAAAGTCTTTAAACGTGTCCCCTTGCTGTCGCCTGTCAGTGTCTTGTCTGTGTTGTGACTGAGGTGCAAGTGAGGGTTAATAAAAGCATGCAAAGCTGACCTAAGGAAAACAATAGGGTCAGCCACTCAACCGGAACATTTGCCCTGGCTGAAACAAAGGGGCTGGTATGGATTGTCTTTTTTTCCTCCGGTATTGAAGATACTTTATATAAGATGCATTGCAGATACATGAATATGGATTAAAACTCGATAAAGTGGTTACATGTTATAATGAAGGGGTGTGAACAAATGCTGCCACTTGTTAACATAATGAGAGACTAGTAACATAGTTTCGCCCCATATCTCAAGCTCAAGGTCTAAGGTCAACAAAGGAATTCGCATCTGTGATATCAAAGATATTATCGAACATTTCATTTCTTTCTTGCATAGTAATAAATAGTACATGACATAAAGATGTGTTTGACTATGTTATGGGCACCAGTTCCGCAATGACACTCTCGCGATTCTATCTTAGAGCATCCTATTTTGACCATATTAGACAGAACATAAAACTTTGAAGGAAATCGTAAAGAAAGTTGCCAAATCCTGTGTTGACCTTTCGATCTGATACAAGTATATTACTGGTACCGTATCATTAGTTCTATTAAAACTTGGTCTTTAAGATATTGTAAATCTTGGGAGAATGGTGTTATGCAAATTGCTAAACATCAGATATTCGTAATGGAGATCTGTAACTGAAGTTTACCGTAATTATCCGCAACTATCACCTGCTGACCATTCGAACTTCTTAATGCGTTCTGATGGCATTGTAAAATTCCTGGATGTTTTTGTTTAGACGGAGGGAATCTATTGTAATAATCTCAGTTTACTGATATTTAATATGTGCATATTGTAAAATATTCACAGTCAATATTTTAAACGTGTAATTGGATACATGCAATGCTACGCGAGTGTACATGAAGGCGGTTATAGTTATAGTTCGATACATGTTGGGGAATGGTCGGGGGATGTATGTACGTAAGTACGGATACATGCGGGCGGATATAGTTATAGTTCGATACATGTTGGGGAATGGTCGGGGGATGTATGTACGTAAGTACGGATACATGCGGGCGGATATAGTTAAAGTTCGATGGATGTTGGGGAATGGTGGGAGGTGGGTGTATTTAAGCATGAACACGGATACATGAGGGCTGATGCAGATGGAGTGAGATGGAAGTGGTGTTATGGTGAGAGTGGTATGTATGTGTGTAAGCACGAGTACGAATACATGAGAGCGGATGTAGTTTATAGTGCGACCGATGCTGGGTATGGCATATAGTGTTTCCTTTTAATCTATAAATGTTTTACGCATTTTAATTACTTTTTTTCTCATGTCACACTGGTCGGGCATTGTACATATCTACCCGAACTACGTAGCAATTTTCATGCTGTACATTGGGTGACACTTAAGTATAAATCTTCTTCTTTAAAATCCTCAATACCGATACTGCAAACTAATATACTAAAGACTAATCCTAATGCTAATACAAATACTAGCTACACTATATACATTATAATATATACGAAAAACTAAATGCTAATATTAATACTAATACTTATGCTAATGTACTAACTACACTTGTTTTGGTTACTGTTGTTTAGTTGGCACAATCACACACAGTCTATGACTGCCCAATTCTATCGACGCCTTTATTTATATAAGTGATCCGTTACGGCACGTTGGCCGTAGGCCGGTTCCACGGGTCTTCAAGCTATTTCGCTTTAATCTACGATTATTTACGTAGTCTATTCTCAGTCCCCAACAATACAAGTGGAAAGGGTACTATCTTAAAATAGAACATTACCGGCACGACTTGTTTCTCATTCTTACGACGAGTTATGTCAAGCTGCAGCGAAGCGTGTCGGGATATCCCACCCGGAGCGACGTGGGGGCATGCAAGGAGGTCTACTCACTCTTTCATTATTGCAAACAGGTTTTAGAGTCTGCCGCTCGGCGAAAGGAAGTGTACATACCGGTATTGTGTGTGTACGAGGGGGTGGGTCCAGTGTTTTCACCTGCGGTCTACCCAAGACAGTCGGACTATACCCTGGTTGTGTGAATGCACGTATAGTGATTCATTTATCAAGTTGGAACAGATCTGTGTTAAATTGAGTACAGGTAGGAGTGTTGAAAGCGGGTGTGTTGCTTCTATGTGTAAATATCGCATTACTTCAGTGATACAGGTGGATAAACACGTGAAGGGTGAAGACTATGGAATCTTACTGAAGGATTGATACAGGACGAGACTGTATTGCATACGTACCACAGGGTAACGCGTTAAAAGTACATTTTCGACTAAACCAGTCTGACTTGTCAGCAGTGCCCACGTGTATGTCAACACGCCATACAGGCATATACTAATACAAGAACTGAACAGGTCCGTGACTAAATTGTTGTGATACACGCTTCACTCAGTGCAGATAGAGGGAGAACTGATATCTGAAGTTTGTGACATTTCTGTGTGTAGATTACATGGTCGTACGAGGGTAGCGCGACCAGGGGTACAGGTCTGACTGTCTATCACCCACACCCTCCTCAAACACAGCCGAGTGTCTCCTTGTCCAGTGTTTGACACCAGCACCACCACCGTCTCCGTCCACCATGTCTGGGGGGTGCTTCCTGTCCCTCCTCCTCCTGGCCTGTCTCGGGCAGTGCACAGGGGAGAAAGTGATGCTGATTGTACTCGGAGGGTTCCGCTGGGACTACTTCAACATCCACACGTACGACGTCGACGGTTTTTCCAAGGTGTTTGAGAAGGGGGTGAAAGCTGATCACCTCATCCCCTCCTTCCCGACCCTCACCTACCCCAACATCTACTCCCTGGTCACAGGTAACGTATACCTTCCCATCCAGCTGTATATTAATTATTATATACTCATGTATATATGGTAATACATTCACTATTTCAATTAATATAACATTTTACCATCACGTACATTGTATACAATAGTCACCTGACCGTCCGCGGCTGTTTAGTGAAGGACAAGATTGATTTCATCAAGAAAATGATATGTTTGATGTATGTATATATATGTGATATTATACATTAAATATTTTCCAACTTCTTCAGGCCTCTACCCCGAGAATCATGGTGTGGTCGGCGACGAGATGTGGGACCCGGAAATGAAGAGAAAATTTTCCAAGGGAGATAACCCCGAGTATCTTAAACCCTACTGGTGGGACATGGGCGAGCCAGTCTGGGTTACCGCGGCAAAGCAGGTGCGATGCATACCAAAACTATTTAACCCATACAAACACTATTGTTAACCACATCCCAAATATATTCTTGTAACTACTTATAGGTGAAGTAGCCACTGTGAAATGTGAATGCTAGCTTGAATGTGAAAAAACATTTATTGTTTCAATCAAGAATATATACGAAGGGTTTGTTAATTTTAATAACTACGCGAATAAATGACTGTATGTAAATGTAGACAAGAGTGAAATGCATGAAAAAAAGTAAGCTTATGATATACGTCTCCAGTCTCATCACTACAGGGTATGCTTACCCTTTTCGCGAACACCTGGTATCATCAAATTTCAGTGATCAGTTCATGTAGCTTTCGCCGACATTTTGCCTTTTTATGCCCAATGGAATCTGTTTTGGCGGATGATCGAGTGTGGACATTCTCCGGCGTTGACGCTATATATTTACAATGAAATAATTAATAAACTCATCTATGTGATATTCTCTGTTAAAATGGAAAACCAACAGGAAGTGATTCCTTAAAGATGGCAACCAGGCTGTAGGATAAGTGGCATCGGGAGAACTCTGCAGTTTCTTGATATGCCACTTAACGAGGGTCGACTACATGTATAAATATATAAATTCTTAGGAATTACAATGTGTTTGTGTAAGTGTGTAAAAGGGCATTCAAATATAATATGGTTTCGCCATCGAAAACATCTTCTACATCTTTTGTAATTGTAGTGAAATAGTTCTTTCGACGTTTCTTATATATCTGATGTGGCATGGTTATCTACAAACAAACATACGATTAAACACACCTGACAGTAAGGGTTATTCTGTTCCTGATAGGACGGCTCCTATTCCCCATCTGGCACGGGTGGTCAAACCTCCAATGCGCCGAAATTAGCTGTTAAGAGAGGCGTGATTCCAATTCCAAGATATGTCCTGATCATGTTTCTAAGTTGGACGGCACCATTCCCATGCTCGTGGGTTTCACCAACGTGGTAACGTCAAAGACCAGTTTCACTGCGGGGTTTCACCCTATATCAAACTGACACGATGTCATATAACTCGAATTCTGTTAAACTCCGTCACTTACACACTCATTCTTCCACAGGGGAAGACGTCCTACATGTTCAACTGGCCAGGCTGTGATGCAACCATCCGGTCTCTTCAGCCCACGTTCTGTGTCCCACATTCTGACGTCAAACCTGACCTTACACCTGACCTTGAGAAATTTATGAATTCCAAGCGAGAAGGTTTGGAGCTGCTCAAGAATGGTTCAGCGGATTTTGTTGGTGAGAAGATTAAACAATTCACTTACTTTTAGTTGTGTTATGCAAGGACGACTGCCATGAATAAACGTTACTGTAAGGTCGATAGCATAATGGTAATCTCATCATTACTTCTGGTTACCGTAGTGTGTATTCTGTACAATCCTCAGGCATAGTTTAGAGACAAACTTGATTAACATCATGTATTCAAAATGTACAAACTGATTAATCTTGATATAAACTGCTGGCGTCCATCTACAAAATGGGTACTAAATAATAATACTCAATAATTATTCTGTTTATCTTGTTTAATCTGGCAGAGATATGAATAGCCCTAAGGCCGAGGTGTGGTTAATCTGACAGATCTATGAACAATACCCTAAGGTCATGGTGTGTTTAATTGCAGGTCTTTATTACGAGGTGACTGATTACGTCACCCACCTGTACTCCCCAGGTAGCCAGGAATCTAAAGGTGAGTCTTAGAACACAGCTACCTCGTGGCCGGCCGTTTTATATTCTGGAAGGGTTGGGGTTGGAGGTTGGATGAGGGGGCGAGGGGGGCTTGTTGGTATAAAATAATCATTAAATGATAAATATCAATATGTAACATAACGCATTCGAGACAAGGGGAAGGTGGCTTGGATTTTTGTAAGAGACATAATATTTATTTAATCAGTGCTTCAAAACAATTATTTTCTTTGAAAGGGGGAACCAAACTAGTTTTTGTACCCACATCCCCTTTTCCAGAACATAAAGTATGTTCAGATTTACTTTTTTGGATAAAACTTCAGAACAAATGATTAGTGTTTATCGTTTTTGTTTCAAAACTTCCCAGCCCACACCTTTCGCGCGTGACACATCAAATAACACAAAACAACACGCAAGTTTAAATCGATTTAAGTGGAAACTCTGTACATTCAGCCCTCTTTAAAGGAAATATCAGATCAGAGAGATATTTTATTGTTTTGAATATTGTACGTCTATACATGTAAGTAAATCCACAGCTTGTACTTAAATACAATGTACAACTTCCAGCCTAATATCTATTAGAGACAATTATTAGATCACTTGATAACGTATATAATATGGACGAAACAGTTGTAATGATATTGAATTCACATTGAGTTCGTGCAACGCACACGTTATATGCAAAGTCGCTATATAGACATCTTTTGAAAGATAAACGCAGTAGGGAATAATTCCTTGCTGATTTGGGGGCACGGGTGGCCCAGTCGTCTGAGGCGATTCGCTGTGCAGAGTTTCGTCCCGTGTGCACGCCAGAAACCTCTGATCGTGGGTTCGAATCCCGGTTCGCCCCGATTATGTTTCTTGGTTTGTCAGCACCATACCCGTGCTCGTGGGTTTCACCGAAGTGGTAAACTTTGAGACCTGCATCACTTCGGGCTTTCCTCCCACATTAAGCTGACATGATGTGATTGAACTGAAAGACTGTTAAAAGCGGCGTTAAACCCAACTCACTCACTTCTTGATGATTAACATAATTTTGACAAAAGTGGATAAATATGTTTAACACTAATACATGTACAATATCTAAGCTCCAGAAAACACTCATGCAGGAGATATGTCATTCAATATGTTGTTGATGCTTATACTGTGGACATGCGGAAGAACCATAATGAAGCACCATTAAAAAAACATAGTGTCTATTCATAAACGTGTTCGTTCGCTTCAACACAGGACTGAGTAGATGGCTCGACAATGAATTCGACAAGCTTATTCACGACATCGACAACGACGAGTTGGAGTACGACGTCAACGTCCTGGTTGCTTCTGACCACGGCGTCGCAGACATCTCCAAGAAGAAGGTGGTCAACATAACGGCCGTTCTTGTCCCTGAAGACGTGGACCACATTGTAGGTCATGGGGCCATTGTCAGTGTCTGGCCGAAGACGGACAAAGTCCAGCAGGTACTCTGACCCATACTGGAGGCTCTGTATTATATGATTTCCTCTAAAATTGTCATGTTAGAGGCATGCATTATATGTTATGCTCTAAAATTGTCATGTTAGAGGCATGCATTATATGTTATCCTCTAAAATTGTCACGTTAGAGGCATGCATTATATGTTATCCTCTAAAATTGTCTTGTTAGAGGCATGCATTATATATTATCCTCTAAAATTGTCATGTTAGAGGCATGCATTATGTGTTATCCTCTAAAATTGTCACGTTAGAAGCAGTGCTGCTACAGAACATTTATATGTAACTAGGGGCTACAGCATACTCCGAAATTCACGCTAGACTGTTAGCCCGAGACTATCAAATTGTGCTGAGGACAAAATCCAATGATGATAGCTTTATCGACTAGTACATTTGAGGCCATACTCCTGAACCAGTTCTCTGATTGTATTTCCCCCAAGCTGTAACTGAAGCGAACTGACAAACAATGAAAACACAGTACGCAGATTTTTCTTCTTCAAGCAGGGCTATCTACAAACTCGGAGGGAAAGTAAAATACGGTTGACACTAGTCCTCTTTGCTGGTCTTAGAAACGAACTTCGACACCTGCTACATTCCGAAAATACATCTGTCAGAAACCCATTTAATATGAGGCGTCTGTGAGGATGCACTGTCTTGTATGTAACAGGCTGATGTGTATTTCCTGTCTACAGGTGTACGATAAGCTGAAGGATTATAACGACAACGTTGCGGTATACTTGAAGGACGACATCCCCGACTCATGGCACTACAGAGACAACATCCGGGTCGCTCCAGTCACCCTTGTAGCAAGTCTCGGATGGATGATCGCTACAGTAAGTGCCGCTCTCAGTGATTGTATAGGATGTGTTGTATTTATTGTCATGACTACGATGCTCATGTCGTCAACGACTGCCGCGATGTTTCTAAACAGTTTGAATTGAAACTATTATCGATTGTAGTCGGGTTTTTTTGCAATGGCGTGGGGTTGTGTTTTAAAGAAAACCAAGACATATGGTTTAATGTCTCATGTATGTTCAGGCCTGGTGTTTGTTTCATAAAGCACAACTATTATCATTCTGTAGTACAAAGATTCTAAATATATCGTACTGATGTACCGTATGCATGTCAAACTGCAATGGCATCTCTCAATTTCTGTACATTTGATCTGACCTTGAAATGATTCGAGGACATATTGTAGCAATGATTAAGTAAAATACATACCCCCGGGGTACCTGTGTCTAACGCTGTATGTACTGTTTTGCTAGCCGGAGCAGGGACTGCCTAAGAGTGACCGAGGCCGGCGGTTCCGGAGCTACGAGGGCTATGACAACAAGGAGGTCAGGATGAGGGCTACTTTTTTCGGATTCGGGCCCAGTGAGTAACCTATGTGTGTCGACTCAGTTGTGCTGATGTGAAGACAGAAATCTGTGCGACTCTTCGTTTATTGCAGATGAATTTCTATATGTGTTAAAATATCGTTATTTTAGCTCTTGTGGACATACATATGTACCAGAAGAATATTTCACTTGGACAAGCGATTTTAATATAAACATGTGTTATGCCCTACAAGAATAAAACATATCAAGACATTTTCTAAATTTATTTCGATTATTTTCATTACTGTCAACTAAAAATAATGTTGTTTACGATACCAGTATTTATGTGTCTGCCTGTCACCAATGCAATTTTATACATGGAGGGAAACGTTCTGCAAAATATGTCTTGTACCAGCGTGGAGAAAAAAATGACTTGACTTGCTACAGCTTGCTATTGAATACGTTTAGGGTTCAATTCCAAACATTGGTACAATGAAGCAAATCCATTCACCCTGTTCCTTGACGCGATAGTGCTGCAATGTGCCAATGAGACGTACAATCATGCTGTTTTCCATTACTGTGTGAAATTATACCAATGTTTTGTTCAAAATATCCCTCCTTATCTTCAGATCTGAAGCGAGGCTACACCTTGCCGGCGATAGAAAACGTAAACCTTTATCAACTGATGTGTCGTATTTTACGGATAACTGCCGCGCCTAACAACGGAACCTGGAGCAACATTGAGGAAGCGTTCATCAAGGTCCCCTACCGACCTCTCATCACGTGGAAGAGAACATTCACATACGGACCAGTCCTGGCTGCCGTGTTGGTGGCCGCCATTATCTACTACGTCAAGTTCAGGAAACACAGCGACAAACATAAGGAAGTTTGAGGAAGCATAGGGAATAGTAGTCGATAAGATAAGAAACAGGCTCTACTAGTCGATAAGTCGATGTACAGAGGACCGTATTATCATGAACCCTTTCAGCGGATCCTGCTTTCTGATGTAGCAAACCTGTTAAAACTGATTTACCACACAGAGTGACCAGACTAACGTTATGTTTATCATCACAAGCAAGTTGTATAATAGTCTGCAAAGATTTATAAAACGCCTCTATGAGTAGTGACCGATGTCTGATATCCGTGTCTGATCTCGCTGGGATATTGCTGGAATGTTGCTTACAACAACGTAACACAATTCACTCACTCACTTTACTCGGGCGGGTCTTGTTAGTAATGTCATACGAATGTGTTCCAAAGCAGTACAGGTGTTGAACCATCTTCAACACACAGGGGTGATTTATGAGTTGCATGTGGCTTGCCTGACACTGAAATAGCCACTTGTAGTTTTCAATGTATATACCCTCTCCATCTGCTGTGTTCATCGTGGATGCTTCAAGTCGTTTCAAACTCTCATATCAGACACGATCTGATCTTGTATATACATGGTTCTAGTGTGTTACTAGATCACACGTCAAGTGTTTGTATGTTTAAGTTTTGAATGTTTGAATAAATGGAAATACCACATGAAGTATCGATTGGTATGTCATATGTATTCAACATCCCCAGGCAGCTGGTAGATATGTGGACTCGTCGATCCATTGGAAATAGAACAACAAATATTACGTTGCTTATAAAAAGTGTGCGTCCCTGACGACGATGTCTGACCCCCACCATCGGGTACAGGAACAGGTGAATTCGGATGAAGGTCACTATTCCAAGGGAGGTAACTCACATTCCTGTTGAGTGCTAAAGATTTTATAACGCTTCTTTAACCTGCGACTTGTCATAGACGCCATGTTGACTTTACATTGAACTTCGATTTTATTGTTTCTACCTTTCAGACATTTGAAGTGATCTGTGCTTTCGTAAAATACACATGCCTTATTCTCTAATTTCTTATTCTGTCCGTTCACTATAAATGTAGCTTTTATCATGAAACACAATATTTTAAACATAACAATATTTATTTCTATTGAAAATAGAGATAGATACTTGTATAAAAGACATTCTCTCTAATGTATACATTTCAAAATATACGACGGGAAATATATATATTTGACAATCTGAAATTTAAGAAAATACAACAAAGTTGAGCAGAGCCACCTGAACTACAGTAAGCGGTTGGAAAAACGTTCCAGATGATGATGTCTCAGCCAGCATGCCGCTGACGTTGTCCCACGTGCCGTTGTGGGGGGAAGGAGGGATGTCGACGATCTTGCACATCACCTGGTACAAATCTGTGACCTTTAGTGGGACAGTTACCTCGTTCTTACGGAACGCTGAAATGGAAGACAGGAACGTTGTGAATAATAATAATAATAATAATAATAATAATAATAATAATAGTGAGTGAGTATGGTTTTACGCCGCTTTTAGCAATATCACGGCGGGGGACACCAGAAATGGGCTTCACACATTGTACCCATGTCGGGAAGCGAACGCTCTAACCACTACTGAGGCTACCCGACCGCCCAATATTAATAATAATAATAATGATAATAATAATAATAATAATAATAATAATAATAATAATAGGGAGTGACATGCATCTTAAGTAGTCCTAATGCCCCTGGGAATTCCAGAAAGAGTTCCCACTATGCAAATAGGAAATGGGGATCGGGTGGTCACTGTGTGAAGTGGATGATTGTGTATGCTCTTCATGCCCCGACGGAGCGTGGCTCATGCAGTCAACAACTATGAAGTGTTTGGTCCCGAATTGGCTATTTACAGGTCGTCATAATATAACTTGAATTGTTCTGACTGACACGTAAAAAAAGAGTGAGTGAGTATGGTTTTACGCCGCTTTTAGCAATATACCAGCAATATCACGGCGGGGGACACCAGAAATGGGTTTCACACATTGTACCAACATCGGAAATCGAACCCGGGTCTTCGGCATCATAGGCATCGATCCACACAGTTGGAATCCGATGACATGCATAAACCAAGTCAGCGAGCCTGACCATCCGATCCCGTTAGTCGCCTCTGAAGACAATCGTGTGATGCTGAAGACCAGTTCTAACCCGGATCGTCACGGGACGAGAATACAACTAACGCCTATGGACACCAGGTGAAAGATTTTGAGATCGCCCACAACTTGTATGCTGAACGGGAGCATTTGTCTGAATGATTTTAGCGTGGTCGCCTTTTACAGACAATTCAATAATTGGCATCATGGGCATCGGTCTATGCAACTGGGTTACAATGACATGCATCAACCAAGTCAGCGAGCCTTACCACCCGACCCCGTTGGTCGCCTCTTACGACAAGCACAGTCACCTTTTACAGCAATCATGGGTTGCTGAAGGCATATTCTGACCCGGATCTTCACGGGAGTACATGAATACTGATAAGATATTAGTGGAATATATCCTGAACAGATTTTATATTATTCAAAGCAATAAACGAATGATAATTTGGATCTTTTGGGTTCTTATCCGCTCTTTTTATTTATTCCGACCGAAATAGTACTTATATTACATTAGAAGCAGATATCTGTTTAAATAAATAAAATATATTTTGATACAGAAACAAATATTACAGGTATTAGCTAAATATATTCCTCATTGAACGTTTAAAAATGATATTGTATTGGTACATAATATACGGTAGCAGTGAGTGAGTGAGTGAATATGGTTTTACGCCGCTTTTAGCAATATTCCAGCAATATCACGGCGGTGGACATCAGAAATGGGCTTCACACATTGTACCCATGTCGGGAATCGAACCCGGGTCTTCGGCGTGACGAGCGAACGCCTTAGCCACTGGGCTACCCATCGCCCCACGTAAAATAAGAACATTTATTACCCTCATATACCCAACAGTGTAATCTAAATATCAGAACTACACAATTACTAGTATTCGGTTCTATGTTTACATCGGTTCGGGTAAAAAAAATCGTTATCAAATTTAGGGGGTGACCTCTCATAATGATTGCATCCAGTAAGATTGGGAACACATGCGTTAGTAGAATCTGGGCATGTAACCAAGTAAGTATATCCACGCACCTGGTCCAGTGGCTATAAATATCCCTCTCATGTCTGGTTCAGTGTTGTCGTATCCATGTGTGCCCTGCATAGGACCCATAGTCGCGGAGGAAGCAGGGAAATGAGGGTATTTAGGCTGAAAACACAAACGTGCAAATCTGCATAATTATATATATATATATATATATATATATATATATATATAGAGAGAGAGAGAGAGAGAGAGAGAGAGAGAGAGAGAGAGAGAGAGCGAGAGACAGACAGACAGACACACACACGACAGTGCGAAATATTGGTTGATACATGAAATATCTCTTTGTAGAGTTGCACATAATGCGTGGGAAATGGGTCTCATTAAAATCAGGTCCCAGTGCTCGTTACCACAACAGAACGACCTTTCGCGAACATTGACCGACTCATGAAATGACGAACAGGAAGTCGACATAAGCCACTCAGAAAACAGCTTTGTCGAGCTTTACGGCACTAGTTTCAAAATGGCGACTTTCATTCCCGATTGAAAATTGAAAATTGAATATGCGATCTTGTATGCGACGTTCTGATTGGTCGCATGAAAGGTCGTTCTGACGTGATCTGTAATGGGATGTCCTCAGATCTTTGTGTACCTGTAGCGAACACTGTAGCAAACACTGTAGCTACTTGTGGCAGAAGTGAAATACACGAAGTAAAGGTAGGGGATATAACTCACAATGAGAATGGTCCAGCCGATATCCGCCACTGCCAGCAGAGGTGGAGTGAGTCGGCCATTTTTTAAATACCATCTTTCTGGAATATCTTCTTTCTTGTACACTTTCAAGTGGTCGGAGATCCCAGCGAGCTTTCCATACAACTGGATATCAGTAAGAAAGTACACATTACAGCGGAAATTAAATGGGGGGCACAAGGTAAATTGGTAATTTATCCTATGACCGTGTGAGTGAGTGAGTGTTGCTGCGCTTTTACCCTTTTATCAATATTCAGGCATATAGAGGTGGGGACCACAGAAATGGGCTTCAAAATTTGAACCCATATGAGGAATCGAACCCGGGGTTTTGGAGTGACGGGCGTACGCTAAAGCCATAACGTTAATACACCGCTCCCGTATTATTGGAAGGGGAGACAAGGGAGAATCCCGGAAATGTACTGTTGGGAATCTGACGTCACACGCCTAGGATCATGAACTATATAGACAAATGTTTGGTCTGGATGTTTGGTTGATTTTCTGATGCCGTAAAATTTCAGCTATATGACGGTAGTCTGTAAATAAGCGAGTCATCCCAGCCAGCTCAACTTTTTCACCGAGATTTAAAACGCAAGAATATTCCCATTCACACTAGCATATCCGACTTCTTTCTGTCAAAAAACAGCTGTTTTACTGATGATTTTAAGCCTCGTGTTGATGCAGGGGGTGAAAGAAGCGTTAATATCTCACGTCTTATCTAGTTCACACTGTAGGAGATGGTCCGCTGTCTTACAGACAGTATATTCATATCTATCACATATCATGCCATTTGCAGCCGCAAACTTTAACATCACAGCATACTACTGCATGGTTATATTTATTACTAAACATATATTTTCTTAACTACCACATTTTTAACCCAAGCTTTTGTGCAGTGTTTGACTGACCGACTGAGTGAGTGCTATATATTCCAGCAAAATGACGTCGGTCTGTGAATATTCGAATAATCTATCATGAGCATCTATTCGCTCAATTTGGATACGATGACAACATGACGTCAATACACTATCGTGACGTACTATGGCGTTAGAAAAGATAGCATATTGCGTCTGGTTTTTTTTCATAGGTCTTCAGCAACCCATGCTTGCCGTAAAAGACGACTATGCTAGTCGTAAGAGGCGACTAAGGTGATCGGGCGGTCAGGCTCGTTGACTTGGTTGATGATGCATGTCATCGATCCCAATTGCGTGGATCGATGCTCATGATATCAATCACTGGTTGTCTGGTCCAGGCTTGAATATTTACAGACCGCCGTCATATAGCTTGAAAATCGCTGAGTGCGGCGTTAAACAACAAACCAACCAACCAACTATTATAACCCGATATCCCCACGAGGTAGTCCTTCGTGTCTAAAACGCTTCCATGCAACTAACCAGTCACACCAGACGTTACGAACCTGCTCCAGCCTCCCTGGTCGCGGCCATATCAAGACAGGCGTCCCGCTGTCCATAGTCATGAAGACATCATCTGGACTCATAACCCTGGTCAGATCTATCGTCCTTGTCGGGGAAATAGCGGTCATACCGTGGTCGGACGCTATCATAATGTTGACCTTGTCCGTGAGACCGCGTCGGTCAAGGTCATCCATCAGGAAGGCAAGTTGAGCATCAACGTCACGTAAAAAGCCCATCACTAAGGAGCTAAAGGGCCCACTGCGATGCCCGTACTTGTCTGCTAGCTCATAATAAATTCCTGTAAATACAACATTTTTTATTGATAATATGTAAGTTTGATGGTATAAAACATTTTAAGAGTTATTTGGTTTTAACTTCGTATTTAACAGCATTTCAATCAAATCACAGGATGCCATCTTGATGTATGAGGAGAGAAAAGTGATGCAGGTCTTAGACGTTCACCGTATTTTGCAGATAAACATAGAAACACAACCATTGTTTATGTATTATTCGAGCCAACGATGAGGGGTTTCTGATTGAGTGAGTGAGTGAGTATGGTTTTTCGCCTCTTTGAGCATTATTCCAGCAATATCACGGCGGAGGACACCAGAAATTGGCTTCACACATTGTACCCAAGTCGGGAATCGAACCCGGGTCTTCGGCGTGACGAGCGAACGCTTTAACCACGAGGCTACCCCACCGCCCCTGGGGTTTCTGGACAACGAATTGCGGTTGATGGTTGATCATGAAGCCAGTCACCGGATTGTCTGGTCTGGACTCGTATATTCACAGCTGTGTGCGACGTTAAACAACAACCAAACCACCAAACCTGCGAAGTCCGCCGTGTCTGCCTCCAGCTTGTTCAGTGCGTCTGTGAGAGCACCACGGGTGTCATTGATGGTGGGGGGCCTGTTGGGGTACTTCTGGCATTGGGTTGGACGCAGGCCCCGGATCTCCACCTCACACCCGCACCAGTAGTACATGTACGTCCTCTTTCCCTGTAGGAACACACACACAAGATTATCTGGTATGAAGTACCGTGTTACAAGAACGGTGATTCATGTCATTAACAACATTATGAGGGCATGATGAGCTGCAATCTCAGTCAGGTCAGTTATAAGAGTTACATTCTATACTCAACACATATCATGAACACCCAGTCTCCTTTGTTCACTTTTATTGAATTAATGGGCTTTCGATCTGAAAACAGTTAGTCATACAGTTAACATATACCTACCATTGCGTTCTTCTACCTCGCTGTGTACCTACCCGTAGGGTCAAATGGTGACCACATTGATCATTGCCGTATATATGGCAATAGATGGACGTGGAGTGAGTGAGTTGGGTTTAAGTTGGGTTTAACGCCGCTGTTAACAGTATTACAGTTATATCACGGCGTGTCAGCTTAATGTGGGAGGAAAGCCCGAAGTGATGCAGGTTTCAGACGTTTACTACTTTTATACGGTATAAAATGCTAGGTTTTCAAGACAGAATCAACCTGTGAAGATCCAGGAAGTCTCCAGAAACCCATGCTTGCCATAAAAGGTGACTATGCTTGTCGTAAGAGGCGACTAACGGGATCGGGTGGTCAGGCTCGCTGACTTGTTTGATGCATGTGATCGTATCCCAATTGCGTAAATCGATGATCTTGATGTCAATCATTGGATTTTCAGGACAAGAATCAATTATTTGCAGACCGCCGTCACATAACGGGAATATTGCTAAGTGCGGCGTTAAACAAAAAACAAACAAACAAACCTGTCTGGTTGCAGTGATCCAGAAGGGGTCTCCTCCGTCCCACCAGTGTGCGTTGTATTGGTCTGGGTTTGTACCGATAAGGAAGGACTGGTTCCTGACGATGTCGTACATGTAGTTGCCGACCATGCCGTGACTCTCACAGTGGAGACCTGTTGGGAATCAATTCAAGTATAAAGTATTAATATTTTATAATTTGCACAAAACATGTTTGTAAACAGGTGTTAGGGCGATATGATATTTTCTAGATAGTAAAGTAACGTAGAGCGATACATTAAACATTGATTAATTGTGGTGGAGACGTTTGTTCAATCTATGTTTAACAGTGGTAGATGCTACTGATTTAGTATGTTAAATAGTGACAGAGGTTATTGTTCTATGTTGAATAGTAACAGAGGCTATTGTTCTATCTTACAGTGCATGAATAGTATTTTCCTTTCTGCCTATTCAGCTCTTTCTGTAACGCTACAGCTGTAAATGAAGCAAGTCTAGATTTTCAACAGATTCTGAATCCCCTATCTCACCGGCGCCCCCTTTCAATTCAAATATAGTTGTTTGTTCCATCTAAGTTACATATTTTAAGCCTTAATCTAAGCGTTAGTCTACTATAATTGCTACAGCTATGTTAAATAGTGGTATAGGATATAGTCATTATTGTATTTGTCAAACAGCGTAGAAATATATCCACGTAAATGCAGCATGGTTGTATATATGTATATGTTCATTGCACCTCCAACAGGTGAGTGAGTGCATGAGTGTGGTTTTACGCCGCATTAGCAATATCACGGTGGAGGACACCAGAAATGGGCTTCACACGTTGTAGCCATGGGAATCGAAACCGGGTCATCGACGTGACGCCACAACGCTTTAACCACTGGGCTACCCCACAGCCAAGCCACGCGTGGTGTTACAATGTAATATTCATGTCTTGTAACATAATACCACTGAGCACATCAAGTCGCATGTCTATACCTCGAGTTGTTGTTAACCTACAAGGTAGGTTGTTTTTTTAACTTTATAGTGTACGTGCCAGTTAAACATTAAGACATTTTAATCAAAACTTGGTTTACGAATTGACCGACTCCCAAAATTGAAATGCGACATATTTGTTTTGAAAAATAAGTAAAATGTTAAAAAAGACTTCATTTACTGCCGCTATCAATATAAATATAGTCTTTAAAATACTACAATTAAAACCTGTTGAGAATTTATGCTTAAAACTTCAAAACACAACAAATTGTGACGAGCCCCTGTTCCTACCAACTTCACGTTTTTCCTACCTACTTAACATTTTACGAAAATAAAAATATATATTGGAAATTGGAAATATTGTTTTTAAATTTGACCTACCGATCTGAATTTCTGGGCCGAAATTACGTTAAACATAAAAAGAGGTTGGCCTTACAATATTGATATCAGATAATGTGTGGATAGCATCAATAAACTATGTATGTAAACATTGTCGCCATGATACGGTGACACCAAATGCAACATAAACACCTGGTGTTCCGTCAGTGTATTAAAACATTACACATCAACTGGATTCATTTCTCTGTGGGTGTAATCTAATCAAGCCATACAGCGCGGACTCGTCCTGCCTACGTACAATCACAGACATATATTACATCGATATGTCCACAGTATGGACCCGTGAAGATCCGGGGTAGAATAGGTCTTCAGCAACCCTTGCTTGTCGTAAGGGGCGACTGACGGGATCGGGTGGTCAGGCTCGCCCACTTGGTTGATACATGTCATCGCATCCCAATTGCGTGGATAAATGCTCATGATGTCAATCGCTGGATTGTCTGATCCAAACTCGAATATTTACCGACCGCCGTCATATAGCTGGAGTATTGTTGAGTGCGGCGTTAAACAAAAACAAACAAACAAACAAACAAACAAACAGACGCAATATGCTATCATGCTTCTGTGTGATTCATTTCTAACGACATAGTACGTCACGATAGTGTACTGACGTCATGATGTCATCATATCCAAATTGAGCGGATATATGCTCAGGATATCAATCACTGGATTGCCGGGTCCAGACTTCAATAGTCACAGACCGACGTCATGTTGCTGGAATATTGCGTCGTAAACAATTAACCACCAACCAAACTACATGTAGCACTCACTCTGTCGGTCAGTCTAACACTGCACTAAAGCTTGAATTAAAAATGAGGTAGTTAAGAAAATTTATTTTTAGAAATAAATATAAACATGCAGTAGAATGCTGTGATGTTAAAGATCTGCCTCTGCACCCCAAAACAATTTCACCATGTTTACAGATATACGTCTTGATTATTATTTCACGCGGCTGCAAATGCTATGATATGTGATAGATATGAATAAACTGTCTGTTAGACAGCGGACTATCTCCTACAATGTGAACCAGATAAGACGTGAGACATTAACGCTACTTTCACCCCCTGCATCAACACGAGACTTAAAATCATCAGTAAAACAGCTGTTTTTCGGCAGAAAGAACGCGGATATGGCAGTGTGAATGGGAATATGCTTGCGTTTTACATCTGGGCGAAAAAGTTGAGCTGGGTGGGGTGCCATCTCGCTGCAAGATAGAATAACACTACGATGATGGTTCTTGCTCGCGATATAGAATCCCGTCGGTGAGTCTGGTTAAGCAAGACGTATTTCCTTCAATAGCTGCCGTTCTTTGAAGCATTCAAACTATGAAAAAAAAGTTACACTCTGAGATCCCACTAAGACCCAATAAACCCTCAGTGATCAAAGATTACCTGTTTGAAAATGCTTGGATCTCGACCGCCTGACGCGACTGCCAAAACGATAAGTTGGTTAGTGTATTTCTGAAGGTAGAAAAAGCACCGAGGGCCATGTTTATTTTTATTTTGTCTGTGTGAGAAAGTGGAGTCTTTTGACAGTTCCGGGTAAAGGGCATCTTGATAACGTTTATTCCCAGACGATGGAAAGTTATATAACTACGGTTATGGGGAAAAGATGTTAGGTTGGGTTCCAGTTTTCAGCTGCACACGATGAAATCCAGGCTTTTTGTCCGTCATCCCTACGCGGAAATGATTACACACACCCTGACCATAAATCTTTGGTACGATAAGATCTTGATAAAGCAAGTCCCATTTTGTGCTGTATGTTATTGAAAATAATCAGCTTACTTTTTCTTAACCGGGACAGATACCACATCGACATGCATAATAATATAGCGATAACATGTAATATATCATGAACAAATGTTTATTAAAAACTATCAAATAGTGATGATGCGAGGTGTTCGCGAAAAGGTGAGCCCCATGGGTAGCACCCGTCACAAACACAGGCAAAGTCAAGTCAACTATTTATCTTAAAAACACGGGAACAGATGGTACTCGGCGAAAGAAGGAATTGTATCGAACATCATTTTTGCCACTGATCCTATGACCATTAATTGAGAATAACCTATTGCTTTTTGAAAAGAATGTGACAGAAACAAGAACCTCAGTTTCTTGCCCTGTGATCTGTAACTGTCCGTAAATTGCCTCTCTGTCCGTGTGTTAAAAGTGATAAAGTGAATTACCACAAATACATTACAGCGCTATTTCCGTCCCAGCTGATCAGGGCTCCACACAGTGACTGATAGTCTTGGGATGGTTTTAGCCATAGGTCATTATCTCGTGTCTTCGTATCATGACTTTAGTCTGATAACATTTGTTGGGTTTCCAACATGTCTGGTAATTCGTCCTAGTTCTCACTCACACACTCCTTACAGTAACCAGCGTTAACTTACAATGTGTTGCACGCAATGATGTGAAGTAGCATTGTAGTATAGCTGCTGATATGTCAATGATAATGTGGTATCTTTGATGAAGAGTGAGGTTTTACGATGTTTTAACAATATTCCAGAAATTCCGCAATTCACGGCCGGGCACGCCAGAAATAGGCTTCATACATTGTAACCATTTTAGTTGCTGAACACATACTGCGGCGCGACGAGCGAACGCTTTAACCACTATGCTACCGCCCTTGTCATGGAAGAACATCACCCTGAAACAATACGAAATAAAATCTTGAATGACGCGTCCCGATTTTAAATGTCGAACATGAAGTTATATATCCGACAAAATGCCATACCAGATACGTTTATACATGTAGTGTCAAATAGATGACAGGGTATACACAATCAGACGGATTGGTCGTGTTCACCAACATGCCCAGGTATATAGCATGCCTTTCTCATTTCTTCTTTCAGGGTTCTACATAAATCGTATCATGTGTCATAACAGGTAAGAATCCCTTGGCATGTGATTCCATAAGCTACAAATAAAGAGATTTCCTTTACCAAGCGCCAACATATTAACGTGAATGTTTAACAGGTCAGCGTCTGGCGTAATGCCTCATGGCAAATAGATAGCTTAAATGATAGGAAATGGGAAACTGATAGAGAAATTTGCAATGACACGAGTCTCTGATCATGCGATAGGGCGTGGAATGGTGGAGACATCTAGAGCCAGCTGACTGCCATTTATCCAGTATTTATTTAGGCGTACCTAATGTACAATGACACAGTACCACTTTGGGAACATGTTTCCGGGGAGGTGGTTCCGGCCACCTGACATCACCTGTACGTGGAGTCAGCGCCTCCACGTCCTCCTCCATCACGGGGGGCAACAGGGGGGTGGCAGTTGGACACAAGGGGGCAGCTGACTCGGGAGAACCCGCAACAAGGTGATCACACAAGTCGTATATCATACAAACTAACTGGGGGCTGTCTGCATCAGTGCGAACAGCGTTAAGGGAGGCGAGCAAATGTCGGGAATGTCAATAACAAAAAGTAGCACTTTTTTATCATGCGGATCCGCCTTCTCCACAGATTAAAAAATGGAGAAAACAACAGTATTTTTACCCCGCTAAGCACTTCAGTTAAATGTATGGCCTGTTTGGTTCGTCTGTAACAGCACTACGTCTAGCAAACAGTTTAAAGGATGGGAAACAGAAAAGCTTAAGATATATTTACTTGAACGATGGATTAGTTACCCAAGTTGACATTTGCACAACATATATACACTGTGGCTGACTACAAGTTCCGACCCGTGAAGATCCGGGGTAGAATAGGTCTTCAGCAACCCATGCTTGCCGTAAAAGGCGACGATGCTTGTTGTAAGAGGTGACTAACGGGATCGGG